TTTGCGCGGTGGCGCTTAGAAATGGCAGTCTGCCCAGCAGCTGGATGAAGTCAAGGTACTGTCAGGGCATAAAATCGAAAGTTATGCTCTGCACAGTGACACAAAAGTAGACACTTACAGTTACAGCAAATATTAATAATCAATTTGTGATAAATGTAATTGTGCTCATGGTTAAAGATCAAAATTACCCTGCACAATCAATTGTGCCTTAAAGCTTAAAAATTAATTGTATATCGATAAATAGTGCCACATTATTTATCGATATACGGGTAAGCATTTTCAGACTCTAATTGCGCTTCTTGTTGTTCTTTGACGTTATTATTTATGTTGTCACACACTGTGCCACAACAAGCCAACTGGTAGGGGTGGGTAGATGTGGTTTTTGGGAAATGGAGGTGGCTTCTCTTTGCTCCCTAGGCTTGTGGAGTCACTGTCTTTGATGCTATTGCACTGGTTAGGCAAGCCGCTGGCAAGTCGCTGCCGAGCGATATTAACATCAAGCGTTAGGGATGTGGATACAAAAAATTAACTTTTGTTAAAAGCCTCTGCGTGTGTGTGTGTCTGTGTGTGTGGTTGTGTGTGTGAGTAGGTAATAGCTACAACAAAGTTTTAAACAACGGCAGCAGACGCGAGTGTTGTGCCCGCAGCTACTTATGACAGGCTGGGGCGGGTGGACAGGCAAAGTGGTTTAGGCCATGTTGCGAATGACTTGGATATTAAACAGATTTTGGTTACGGTCACGTTGCCAGCCGCTTTCAAACGTTGTGGACTGCAAGCGTTATGGAAATTTTAAATGTCAAGGTGTTGATTACACGTGCCAAGGTTCACTGCACAGCAGCCTCGATTCAGCCCCAGTTCAGTCTCGTCCATTTCAGTTTAGCTCAGTTTAGTTTAGTTTAGTTTAGTTTATTTGTCTGGTAGTTCAGGACGACAATGATCCTTGTGTAATTGCCTGCAGCTCTGGTTGCGTATTATAATCCATCAAAGGTTAAGCGGTGTTGGGCATGTAATGAAATATAATCTGAAACACGGACACACACACACACAGCGGCACACACGGACAGGCATTACAAATGCCACTCAAACTGAACTGTGGCCTGCATTTAACACTACAGCTTAGTGGGCCAAATTGTGGCGGCATCTGGGTCTGGCTTGAGCACTCCACTTGCTCGCTGTATGTGTGTGTGTGTGAGTATTTTGTGGCATCCAATACGTAATAGACAACAGCTAATTGATGTGCGACAAATGAGCCAACCAACAGCTCAAGCCCAATCAATTAATCGAGTGTAAAATATGCTGAAATTCACTTAAACAATCACAAAATCACCTGAGTGCAATTTGCATCGCGTTGTCTAGTTTCTATTCATGGCACATCGATCATGCCCTGAAGCAGGATTCGATTGCAGTGGGCAAAAAGTTTTACACGCCATTCAATTTCAATTTGGCGAAACGGTGAAACGGAAGCGAATCGGTTGCGAAACGGTTATGTGCAAGCGCTCAAAGAAGTCGCTCATGTTTATGTAGCAAATGCAGCAATTGTCAGTCTGCACAGCACTTGGCACCCGCTCTTTGGCCACAGAACACCAACAGGCACCCACACCATCACCACCATCACCACCATCACCTCCAGCTCCTCCAGCTCCACTCACATCCGCTGCAGTCCAGCTGAACGAACTTGCTTCAAGATTTGCGGTTGGAGCCAGTTTTTAGTATATTGTTAACAAGTAAAATGAAAACGTAAATGTTTGAAAATTAGATTTTGCCCGAGTCGCTTTTGCTTAGACTTGTTCCGGGGTTGGTCGTACAATTTTGTGGGTGTGAGCGTTTGTGTGTGTGTGTGTGTGTGTGTGTGTGTGTGTGTGTGTGTGTGTTACTGTGTGTGCACTGAGGTGTTGCCTAGTTTGTGGCTTGTTAGTTAGTTAAAAGTTTTTGCCTGCAATTAAATTGCTGCGCAAAAAGTTTGCTTCACCATTGTTCTTAATTTTTTCTTTGGCTTTTGCAGTTTGCCAAAGCCAAATACGAATGAACAAAATTGTCTCCATCTGCGCTGCATTTATGTGTACATGTGTGTGTGTGTGTGTGTGTGTGTGTGTGTGCGTGTGTATGTCTGCCTTTAAGTCGCAGCCACAGTCGGAAAGTGTACAAGTCCTGTGGCAATTGCCTGATTGTTTCTAATCCGCAGCAGCATCGAATAGCAAGAAAGTTCGTTATCAGTGACATTTTGGTGTACAAACAGCAAATAGCTCGCAGTTTTCAATTTTCAGTATGCAGTTCTCAAAAACTCCTTGCTCTCATCCAACAGTTGGCAATTCGCAGTTGCCATTGAGTTCGTGCCGGCAATAGCAACTAAATTGCATATTTTAAGCAGAAAAAAACGAATTAACTTAGTCCCAATTCACTTGACGGCTTAGGGGGTAAAGTGCTGATTGAGAATGGATTTAGGCAACTGCACTCTTGGCATAAATTCAACTTCTTGAGACTGCCGGCCAAAGTAAAATCATATATATACACATATATATATATTTATGTTTATAGTTAGCATTTCACTTATCTGACAGCATCATTTTGGAAGAGCAGGAAACAGTAGAAAATCGACGCTGTCATTCATACCTCATATCTCAACTTGAGTATGGCATTCAGGCGACCACAATTAGAAAGAGGGAGATGTACATATGTATTCAGTGGAAACTAATTGCCTCAATGACCGCAAACAAAACCAAACAAAAGAATACAAAAACGATGCATACTTCGCGGCGCTGCTAGTTTCAACGAGCTGGAAAGTGGAAACTGGAAGCTCTGCATGCCAAATCAAAATCATCACCATCATACCCGAAGGCACTGGCAAAAAATCTTAACAAAATAAGATGAAGAGCTGCGAAGCGCATTAAATCATTTCCGCACTAAAGAGCTCGCCACTTGTGACTGCGACTGTTGCAGCTCCCCACTATTTATGTGCTGTTGCTGCTTGGCTTTTTGTTGCAAACAAAAAAAAAAAAAAAATGAAATCGAAAGAAAAAAAATCGGAAAAAAAGCAAGCAACCGAAAAAAAGTGGAATGAATGAATGGTAGTGTCTCTTTTTATTGCTCAGGCAAAAGCATAAAAATGATTTGCAGGAGTACATGTACAAATAGTATATACAAAGATGCATATAAACATACATATATATATATATATATATAAAAATGTATATATATATATATAAGCACATTAGCTTACTCATGTGTGTGTGCATGTGTAACATATTCAGGCAATTACCGCCATTCAGCACATTTCAATTCAACTTCAAAATTGCTGCCATCTTTGCCTCCCTGTCGTCTTTGCCTTCTGCATATTTCTTTACCGCGCCGCTAGTCTTCTTCTTCTTTTTCTTCTTCTTCATCTTCTTCTTCATTTACTACTTCTAGAAAAAAGCTTTTAAACTTCACTCAAGATTTTTGCTGTTCACGCTCGGTTCGCAAATTTTTTGACTGTTGCCGCTTACTTAGTTTTCCAACGTGAGTTGCACAGTGGTCACCATGCACACAATTTTTCGACTGAATGATTAACGATTATAGTCGATTAACCTTCAAGTGCCATAGATCAGTCTAAGTCGAAGTTTATTTTGCGTTAACTCGTTTCAATTTCGTATCGTTAAATTATTACTATTTTGTTAATTCGGAGAAACCACAAAAACTGATTTTTTCAACATCTATCAGCAATATAATTACGTCTAGCTATAAATTGGTGAAATTCTGACAAAGTATTTATATTATTTAATTGGTTCCAATTGGAAATAAATATTATTGAATTGCAAGTCAAAAAAGTGAGGTTAAGTAATCAATTTTCGAGTTTTCTTATTGCCATTTCGATCATTTTCTATCAATACATTTTCAATGTATCCAATTTAGGTCTTGTCATGTTTTTCTAAGCGATAACTTAAGCAGCAGTATATATTAGTTTGAATATTCTGACTATGATGCCTTTTGATTTACTTAAAATTCATAATGCTTGTTAAATGTAATATATATTCAATTTTTTTCACATAATACAGATTTGTGCTGTCTGCCAACGAACTGTGGCCAAGCCAACTAAATTTGTAAGTTTCCAAAACTTGAATCCATACATAATTGAGTTGATTTCATTTGATTCCTATTTGATTTAGCGAGCAAATTTAGACAACAAATTGCGCTTATTGACCCAGTGTGGTACGTCAGTTTTGGTCGATGTGCGCTGTTGTGTCTTTATCTACAACTGCCGCTTTATATTCCACAGCAACTGCATCTGCATCTTCTGCTTCTTGTTGGGACTTTACTTTGTTGTGTGCTCTGAGCTGATGTACGTGTGTGTATATATATATATATGTGTGTGTGTGTGTGTGTGTTTTTAGTGTGCGCTGATGCTGTGTGTGTGTGTGTGTGTGTGTGTCTGGTGTGCGCTTTGTGAAGTGCCGTTTTTATAAGTCTGTCAAAATGTAGTTCATATATTTTCGCGAAAATTCGTTTTGCAGTTGACATAACTTTGTCAGCCCCAATTTATCAACAACAATTAGTAGAGCAGAGACCGACGACTGGCTGCCTGACTGCCTAACTGACTCACTGACTGACTGACTGACTGACTGACTGACTGACTGACTGACTGACGTATGGCAAGTGGTAGTTTTTTTGGGGCGTGGCAAGCATGTGACAAGTATATTGCACAACGTTGCACAAAACTTTGCCCGTCTGTGCGGCAAATGGATGACTTGACTTGCAACGAATTGCTTTGCCAATGAAGACATTGCAACAGCAACAGCAGCAACAGCAACAGCAGCAGCAGCATCAGCATCAGCAGCATCAGAAAGGCGTATGCATCATATTGCCAAACGTAATTAATATAATTTAGTCAAATTTAGTTTGAGGCCAACTTTCAACTGGCTTATTAAATTGCTAGCTGCGTGACTGATAAAGAGCTCCTTGAAATAATTAATACGCTCATAATATATATATATATATAGGGAATCTAGTATATAGTTTATAGTTACCTGTATTCGTGGGATAAGAAGAACGTGCCACGAATCTTGCAGCCATTGGGATTTTGGCGCTTGCCATTGAAGATCTTCTGATAATGATCGTAATTATTCAAATTGACGGCGCCATCAAATGTCAACATTATAATTTGAGGTATCTGAAATATAGGGTAAGCAGGAAAACTGTTGTATGCCATTGCAAAAGTCACATATCTATATGTATGTATATGTATGTATGTATGTATGTATTAAATGTTAATTGGCAAGACCACCAGAAAAGAGCTCTTAATTATATAACATGCACATTTGCTTTTTGCTGGGTGTGTGTGTGTGTGTGTGCGGTGTGTGTGTGTGAGTCTTTCGGCCCAATTAGTGAATCTCCAGGCATCAAAAATCGCGGGACATGCATTGACATTGGTAGCCACAGCAAAAGCAGCGTTGCGCCTGGCTGAGCTTAAACTTGCGGCCTGCTGCTAACGCGGCGTATACGCAACGACCGCCATTTGCTACTTAGAACTTGAGATTTAAACATAATTAGTGGGTATGCTGTTAACCAGGTCGCGAAAATGCAGATCCATGCTGACATAGCTGCGCAAAAGCCAAAAGTGAGTTACTATCAATATAGCAGCAGCTATAGCAACAGTAGTGGCACTGGCACTGGCAGTGGCAGTGGCAGTGGCAACAACCGTTTCAACAACAGCAATAAGTTTAACGAGTGGTAAAGCAGAGCAATTCCATTACAAAAATTGCCACCCCGTGATGCATTGAATTCCCAACGGGCGACGTTCTGTGTGGCGTCTCCAAAAGCAGCTTGCAACACTTTAAGTGCAATTCCATAATCAAAGACCGCTGCAATTGCGAACCGAAAAGAAATGACGCACCATAAAAACAAGCAGCGCCCAACACATAATTCGACAGCTCAACGCACTTTGAACACCCTTCAAAATGATAAGATTACTTTTATTGATTTTCGATTGGTCATTTTATAAAGGACTAGCAATTGAAGCAATCATCTTTGGATATCCAATTTGATCTTAAAGATCATTATTTTAAAGTATCGCACCAAGTAATGCACTAAAAATAAGAAATTCTGGATTCCAACCTAAGTGCGATAGTTTTACTAATATATACAAAGATTTTATGTCTATTTACAGACAATTCCTACCGATGGGAAAAAATACTAAGCGGTATCAATGAGAGAATTATAAACATTAAACATAATAAGGAGCATTACATAAAAAATGAACGTTTACAAAGTGCATGCCAAAGTCATAAGACTCAGCCGAGGGCGGGTTGTGAAATGAAAATCGAATGCGATCAGCATAAAGCAGCGTTGAATGGCAATTGCTGTCGAGGTGGCAGCCGAAATGCATTTGGATAGAGCTGCACATAAAGAGGAGAGGCACGGGCAACGGTGTCGTCGGCGGCACTTAACTCTCATTGTGGAACACATAAAAAGAATTAATGTTCAAATGCAATATGAATGTTGGCCGGCTAACACAAGCCTCAACCAACAGACTGTTGGCCGTAGTCGACAATTGACCGTATCTCTATCTATCCAGCTATCCATCTATCTAGCCATCTATCTGGCCAACTCTGCGTTTCCCTTCTGCCACTCTACATCATGCAGCCTGAGCTGGCAAAATTATGCAGAGGCGTGAAGCACTCGAAAACATCGAACGTTGGTCAGCTTAAGATAACTGATGATTCTGATGATGATGCTGCTGATGATGATGTTGATGATGACGATGCCGCTTTCTGCGAGAATTGAAATTTGCGCATCGATTTGACATCGCTTCCTTTCACTGCGTTTTTTTGTAGTATGCCTTTGCATTTGCATTTGCCTTTGCCTTTCGCCTGCCTCCCTTTTTGGAAGTTGTCTCTGCAAAAGATGGGGCAAATCAACAGCATTTGCGGGTTTTATTCCACTTTTCAGTGAATTAATATCATCGTCAAATTATTATTGCAAATATAACGAATGACCAGATAGAGCCATAAAACACTAAAATATGGTTGATAGTTTCTAAGAATAATCGCAAAAACATACATCGTTCTTTGCACCATTGGATTAAATAACTTAATGAGTGTAAGCTTAAGTCTAATCTTTAACGATGAGCAAACAAACCGGAATAACAAATATATATATATATATATATTTATATAATTTATAATGAAAATGTGCTCTCCATTTAATTACTGAGTTTTTGAAACATTTTCTATTTTGTAAATGGAAAATGACTGATTTTTAGTCTCGTCAAAAGTTGTGTGCAAACAATTTTAGAGTTCAGTACTTTTAATAGATTGGCGATTCAAAAGCTGGACACGACTGCAAGGACTCCGCTTCGATCTCCTTTGCTGGCAATCTACTTTACAGCACCCCCCACCCTCCACCCACCACCACTCCATCTACATCCGCCCCTCTTATCGCCTTATCCCCTATTGTCTTAGCCCCTGTGCCACTGTGTACGTTGATAATTTGTGCTTAATGTGACTCAAGTTTGCACTTCAGTCTTTGAGCAAATATGGCACATAGACAGTAGACAGTTGACAAGCACCTTTGCCTGAAAGACAGAAGTTTGCTCGACGAACTCGTTCAGCACTAGAAAATGGATGATAGATGGGTTTTTGATGCTGTTCCAGTAAGTGGGTTGGATGCCAATTCTTTTTGGCGTGTTTGTGATGCAAATTTGCATAGCTTAGTTGCTCAATCGCGGCGACAATTGAGCGGCTCATTGATTGAGTGATTGCAGTTGCGCATAAATGCAGTACCCTTAAGCAGAAATCTACCACCTCTACCTACCACTCCCCCTCCTTCGAGCACTCTCCTCTCCATCCACATTCACCGTTTTACTCGAGAAGCTCTATGATAAGTTTTTGTTGACAGTCAGCGCTTTCATCTCAGTTTTCTTTATCTTTTACTTTGTGAAAGCTTAACTCAAATTGGATTCGCATTCAAATTGTGCAAAGCGTTTTATTTAACGACATCTCGCTTTTTCTTGGATCGACTTGACGGCTTCTTGGTTACGCACAGACAAGTGAAACGAAGTGCAAAAAGCGCTGATTTCCAGCCATTTACTGGGTATATGCCAGTCGAGCATGCTGGCCAATAAGGCATTTCAAACATTTGCGTATAGTTCGATGCCAGTGCACTTTGGCTGCGGAAATTGACCGCGCTGCGAAATTGATTATCGACGATTATCGGAAAATGTGATTGGAAAGCGTAATGTCAGATGGCCTAGAAGAGTTTTGGGCAAATGTGCACACAAATTAACCGCTTGTTTGCGGTTAATTGAGATGGTATTAATTATAACTATACGCTCAAACACACACACACACACACACACGCACACACACACACAAACGCACACATGCAAAGAAGTACAAACAGGCTGTCAGAAATTGAAATCGTTTTGTTTTGGGTCTGTGGGTCGGTGGGCGTAGGGGAGGGGAGGGGGTTGAGGGCGTGGGGTAAACACATGTAAGCGCTAATAACACTTAAATAAGCACTCTCGCCGCACAGACCCTTAAACAAAGGCGACAAGAGGCGCAAGAGGCGCAAGAGGCGCAGAGGCGCAACAGGGAAAGGGGTGCCACAGCAGGAGGGTAATTCAGACAATGCGACAGCAGACACACACACACACACACACACAGACACGAACACATACTCGCACATATATTTCAATTTGGAAATTAAGTGGCTCACTTGCGATTTGTTTGTGTTTGTGTTAGTGTTGTGTATTTGCGTTTTGCGTTCATGTTGAAAATCGGCCGAGTATTTCGACGCCTCTGCCGATGCCGACGTCGCCGTCGCCGTCGCCGTCGCCACATAAACTTCCGCAGCTTTCTGCTCGTATTTAGCTTTCATTACCCTTTGCCACTTTCGGACCGCTCTCATTTGCCATGCAATTTACAACAAGTCACCAAATTTCTAAATCAATACGAGTACAAATTACTTAAAAGTCGTCCTAGCAACTCTTACATCAATTGTTGCCTCGAAAAAAAGAGTAATTAATTTACAAAAAAATAAAAATTAAATAAAGAATTGTGTGTTGTTTGGAGACCTCTTCTTATATATTGAATATTTTAAAGCTCCACGGCTGACTGAACCGACGCCATGAATCTCTCTCTGAAGACGAATCTCGAACGGAAAAATAACAGCAAAAAACATATTTGTAACGGAGTAAAACTTTCCAATTAAAATGGTACAACATTTATTGAGATTGGAGGAAATTCAGAATTAAAAACAACAATATAGACGCATAAGTAGTAGGCGTTAGTAGCCAGTAATAAGGAAAGTAATACTTGAAAAGGGCAGATATAAACGGATAAAGAGAGAGAGACAGAGAGAGAGAGAGAGAGAGAGAGAGAAACCTACTATAGAGAAAGGATAGGAAAATGAGTGAATTCCCAGCGGATTAAGATAAGTTTATCACATTTGCTATTGCTTAGATAAGTTAGTATTGATAATATTGATTAAATGAAGAGACGGTTGCTTTGAGAACACGTGAAATATGGCATTATAAGATTTATATTTGAAGCCACTGAGTATTTAATTTCACAAAGATAAGATAGTGGACGAGAACTCTTATCGGGAAGAGGTAGGATAATGAGTTGTATGTATGAAAAGAATAATTGTACATAGCTTCAGATAATTGAAGAGTTAAAGGTCTGAACTTTAATTTCTATAGAGGTAGATTAAAGAGTATTTAAATGTTTGTTCAATTTTCCGGAATCATTTGCTTATGTGTGTAGTTTTTGTTGTTGTTTAGCATTGCTATTATCGTGCATGCGAAACCACAACTAATGTGCACTTCAAACTGTCTGTCAATTGACAGTCCGCACAGAACACACACAATCACGCTGGGACACTAAATCAACTACACATGCACACAATAAACACACACACACACACACACACACACACACATACACACACAGACACAATAGAGCTAATATTATTTTTCGTCCTGCCCAAAATTGTCGAGGGAGCGTTGAATTTTAAAGTGTGAAAGCAACATAATTGGAATAGCTCTGAGTATCCAAATATATATTATCAGTGGGGCATATTCATAGATATGTCATGTACACACATAGATATATATATAGCATACATATACATAATAATCGCATCAATTTAATATTCAAATAATTATGCATTATCTCTATTTACATTGTTGACTTTTGTACTGGCTATTTGGGTATCTCTGTATTTATGTACATACGTGTTGTGTCTGCCCATCAATCTTATCAGGGTTATTCTAAGCTTTATATCGATGGAAGGGTAATTTTTTTGACGTATATAAGATATTTGTTTCCTCAACATTGTTGTTCAATTCTATATTTATCCTCACATCAATCAGTTTATTTATACACTTAAGTGTATCTACATAACTATGCGGCTATTAGCACAAACGCAAGATTTGAGTTTGTACAGATGTATCTGATGGAGTGCAAGTGATTATATTCAGGATATATCTATTTTACACCTTAATAAACTTCATATTATATGCCTAATTAATTGCTTTTTTTTTTACTAGCTATCAAACGTTAATTCTCATTGTTGTCTTTGCAACTTTTTGTGTGTGATTTTCAGTTATGCATCTATTAAAATATTTATTCACATTTTACGCATACGTAGTGGTAATGCTTGCAGAGTTTTTGCTGCCATTTTGCAAAAACTTTGCTTTCACGTAATTTTACGATCTACTTCGAGTCTTTTTTTGTGTTTGAGCTCATAACTCTTGGCCAAATAAACAGACCGGAGTTATTAAACAGGATATTCGAATCAACAGGAACAGCAGCAATGACTGCAACCTCAATAGCAACAACATTAATAACAACAGTGTGAAAAACAACAACTGAAACTATGACACATATGCAACGAATGGCACAACAAATGGCAAAGACAACAGTACAATTTCCTTATGCAAAGTAGCGATAACAGCAGCCGAATGCATATACACAGATTTATGGCCAGAGCAGTACCCAAACTCAAAACGAGGCCGAAGCCAAACTTAAACAATATACAGACATATACATATACCCCCTATTGTCACCATCCCATCCCATCCCATCCCATCCCACCCCACCCCGTCCCATCTCTATACAAAGGCGCAGCTGGCATAGTCCTGTGCTGCTCTGTGTCGTAAAAATAAAAGCTGTCAATGCACTCCAAAATTTATCGCTTTGCAAATTAACACTTAAAGGCCAGCAAAAAAATACAAAAACCAAAAAAAAAAAAAAAAGTAGAAACTAAAACACGCTTGATATATATAATAGAAGAGTGAGTTAAATGCTGGCTGGTTAGATGGAAATGGGTTGGACGTTGGACTTACCTTTTCAGCCTCCAGTTCGCCAGGCACCTGGGTGCCATCCTTGGAGCAGAAGCAGTAGGGCAGCTGGCACTCCTCTGTGTTGCAGCGCTGAGCAGTGTCGGCTGGCGCATCCGTTGCCGGTGCAGGTGCTGCAAAGACGATAGACGTAAATGAAAATGTGTTGCAACACTCAACGGGTAATTGCTTTGTGGGCTTGTTGCGCAAATTAGCTACGAAATTATTTAAAATCGATTTGGATATGCGAGCAAAATTGCACTCTGCCAATCGAATGCCACAATGGGAGACACAGCGAGACAGAGACAGAAAGAAAGAGAGATAGAGAGAGAGAGGAGAGCATCTCGAAAGTTAAAAGTCAACAAAATAACACAATACAATACAAATATCAATAAGGCAGCAGGTAGCCAGCCAAACAACGTACAAAATGTGCAAGAAACAAGTTAAAAGAAAGTTAACAACGAGCCAGGGAGAAAGAGCGAAATTCAAATAGCCATGGGTTATATCCTAGCTACCTCAAACTGCCTTGTTACCAAACAGCACAACTCTGCAGAAAGCACAAACACACAAACCCCCCCCAAAAAAAGAAAAGAGAAAGAAAAAACGAAACCGTTCGGGGCATCATTTTGGCACGACTATTTGCATATGTGGGCGTTGGGCATAACACTTGTGTGTGTGTGTGTGCGTGTGTGTGTGTGGGTGTGTGGGTGTGCATTTGTGTGCCTGGCAAAACTCAATGGAATTCGATTGGCATTTCTTTTGTTGTTGTTGTTCTGTGATCGAGTAAACAAATTCACTTAAAGTCCACAAAACAGAAGGTCGCTCATGCACATGTGTTGAGAGACGAAAGCCAGATTCAAATTCAATGGGTAAAGGCAGGCATTAGGTATGCGCTGGGCTACACCCCGGTAACTGGCCACAAATATTATATGCATCAGCTGCGCCTTGCTGCGCTCAATCACTGGATATGCTCGTTGCTCACTATCACGACATCCTTCAGGCCGACTCGACACGGATTAGCCATAAATCAAGAAGCCGCAAAAACCATAATTTTGTGCTGCTTGCCGCAAAGCAGCCGAACTTAATTAACGGCACTCATTGCAGCGAAATCAGCACTATTTCCTTCCGCCACTGCGCCCCTTCTCCCACCCCCACCGTCACTGTTACTTTGGTTGCCTCACAGATCACTTTGGGTGACAACTCCACGCATAAGGAACAAGTGCAACTTGCTGTCAGTAAGCTGTCGGCTGCGCATTTTCAATAGCAAGGACAGCAGCGTAGCCTCGGTTGCAGTTTCAGATTCAGCTTATTTGTTATTGCTGTCGCAATGCTGTTGTGCATTCCTGTCAAATGAAATGAAACAAGCGTAGTCTAGTTGAAAGCGACCAACTAGCAGATACCCTGTAATAAAACCATGTAGGCAAGAAATACAAAAAAAAAGAGATCAAATCGGCTTTTTATAGTTTATAGCCTGAATATGGAATATCGGTAAAAATTTTGTAGTGGAAGGATATATATAGATCCATCTGTATGAACAGACGGATCTCTGAGACTGTAAGAGATAGGGACTTTAAATTTGGGATATAAAATCTCAAATATCCCGCGCAGATCATATTTGATCATTTTATCGATAAATGCAACCCTTTCACGAATATCAGAACATTTTCGATAGCAATTAAAAGCCACAATTTTAAAGACAAAGCATTCTGATTGATATATAAGATTAACATATGAATCGATATCGGATAAGAGACATTGTATAATACACAATCCACTAATTTTTAATGGGTATACAAGAAAGCAATTTCAAACATTGCATAAGAAAATATCTTAAATATTTTTTGTTTTTGACTTGACTTGTTTTGAAAGTCATGTTGAGTGTCTAATGCTGTCAAGCATTCATATATTTTGCGCTTTCTGCTCTTAACAATGCTATATATCAGTGATGAAATTTTATTTCCATCTAGCTAAGCTATAATCTAAAGTGTTCAACTGAAGAGCTATACAATTATAAAAACTAATGACACAATATGGGAAAATTGCGGAAATGGCTTCTGGATAACTCGCAATAAACTTGGCAAATTAAAAATGATTATTTAATGTTTTTTTTTTGTGCCATCTCCATCTGTGTGTGTGCGCGCGTGTGTGAGATAGTACGAGTAAGCTGTCCGTAGAAGTTGCCATTTAAGTTGGTCGTCAACTTCCGTTTCCGTATGGCTGGGTCCATTGACAGCATCATCAATCAATTTAAAGTGGACTTATGCCGCTTGACATTGCCAAATGCAAAACAAACTAATGATGTCAAGCACTTTTGCGTCCCAACGAATTTGACAGAAACGTTGCGCAGGAGCTTAAGCTCAACCCCAGCTATTACCCCTTGCCTACTGTCCCATTCTCGAATTGAATCGAATAGGGTTGGGTCGAACAGACCCTGCTACCAGTAAAAAAACTCTTATTATTTAGCTGTGTCACGTCGAGTATTTGTTGAGTATTCGATATTCAGTTGCCAATAAACGCGACTAACAAACAAAATCGATTTAATTACATTATTTGGATGCTATGCAACCAAACAAAACGCTCCACACCCCGCCTTCCCCTTGAAAGCCAATTAAATAATCGCTAACTGCATCAAAGTTGATTCTGTAACTGACAAAAAATCAGAAGCTACAACAAAAATCACATGCGAATGCAATCAGGACAAAAGTCGCACTGGGCAATGGATAACGGGGCTGCTTCTGGGCTTGGCTGTGATGCGAGTCGAAGGTTTCTTTTTGTGGCTTATGTAATGCCCAAGGCAACAGTGACTGTCAACTGCAATAGCATCATCAAATAAAATAACAAGTGACACAACTATGGCAAAACAAGCACAGCAACAAAATAATAAACACAATATATGCCCATAAATATTAATAACTCTAATGTTAGGTTTTAAATATTGATGTGTGTGCGTGTGTGTGTGTGTGTGTGTATACAGATATTGAATAAAATGTAATAAACACTTTTAGTAACTTTGTCTTATGCATTTCGCACTGCCAGCGACAGTCTCGACAACAGCAACAGCAAAGCTGAGCGGAGAGCTGGGCAGAAGTTGCATACGTTGCGTATACGTAATGCGGACAGTTTGGAGCTTATTTGTGTAACTGCTTGTTGTAGCTGTCGTTGTTACTGTTGTTGCTGTTGTGTAAGCAATATTGAAATGCTGTCATTGAGCGTGCTCACTGAATTATGAAATTGAAAACTATTCAGTGCAAAATTGCTTCGAATTTTACCAGCTCGTGTGAGTTCTCTACATACGACACTATAGTAAATACATGCATACATATATATACATACATATATATACATACATATATATACATATGTATATTTTTATAAACAGCAGTAGCAGCAGTTTGTCAGTTGCTTGGACGCGCACTGTCAATAGTTTGGGCCAAGTTGGCAGCTAAATAAGCTAGTCAAACTGTCGAGCAGTCAAGTCGGCAGCTGTAGTCAAATACATTTTGGACAGTAAGTGTCTGCAGCAGGCAGCATGTTGGCTAACAAGTATTTTGTATTTTGTACGCAGATTTTATTGAATTTCCAACCCGATCACTGGCTTAAATATTCTAATTTGTGTCTGGGCAGCAACGAAGCCGAGCACCAAATCCAAATAAAACGAAATAAAATCGCATTTATATGCACATTTTATTGCATACATTGTAGAATACCTTAGCCATATCCCACCCCACAACATTACACACACGCGCACACACACACGCACACACACACGCACACACACACACACACATGCGCATAATGAAAAGAAGCAACTTTTTGCTTATCTTTTTTTTGTGTTGGCACATTTGCTGTCAGAATTTCAAATTCATTTGGGTTTTGAATGCGTCGTAAGCAATTCGTCAGCTGAGCATTTTGACAAGCCAGTCGGGGGACGTGCGGCGCGTTGCAAGCTGTGGGCTTAGGCATTGAAGTTATTGTTGTTGCTGTTGCTGCTGTTGTTGCTGTTGCTGTTGTTGTTGTTGGGGTTTGGGGCTTCGCTATTTTAGAGCTCATAATCCCTGGTCTGGCTTATGTAGCAGCCAGCTGGCTTGCAAATTAAAGTGCCAGGCGATTAGAGGCAATCAGTGAGTTCTTCAGTATGCTCGCAAATCAAATCTTACTTAATGCTCACACACTTATGTGCATATAGACCAAAGATACATATGCATATCATTACTCAGCTGGAGCAGTTTCACTTCTATTCTCATCAATCAATCAATGAATCATATTTAAAACATTGCCAAAGTCGCTCAGTATTAAGAAGTATTTGAATATATTTTGTTGCATTTCTCGCTCACATCGATAAGTTTGTTCAACAGTTGCAAGTGTTTATTATGCTTTATGCATTTGTAAAAGCATTTAAGAGGTAATTTAAAAATTACAATAATTTATTATATTATATAAGTATCGTATATATAAAAAATCAAAACTACAAGCACTTTACTGGCAAATTCCAAGTTCTTTTCTTATTTTTGATAACTGTGTGTGTGAGTTTAGTAAAAAAAAAGAGAGAGAAGAAAAGAAATGGTATGCACAGAGCTTTGACCTAATCTCCGGTGCAATATTTCTGCTCGTGCCTTGCTTTACTTTGGCTACAGCAATGCGGCTTTGGGTGGCAGCCGGCGACTCGCTTTTATGTGTATATATATATGTGTGTGTGAGTGTGAGTGTGTGTGTGGTATGTGTGTGTGTCATTTATATAATTACTCTTATACTCCAACATACTCCCCGCAACACACACACACACACACACACTGGGTCGCTGGCTTTCAGTCGCCGTCACAGTCAGAGCAGAGAGCTATTTATGTGAGACAAAATTCCAGTTGGTATTACGCAAATCCCAAATGCTTTAGCTGTCGTAGCTTTCTTCCAAACGGTTTCCTTCCGACAACGGTGGCCAACTGCAAGCCCAATGCCAGCGGCGCCGTTGACTGCTAACGGCAACTGCGCTGCTGACTGCTGCAAAAGTGCGTGCTTGCATTTCAGCGATATATTAGACTGTGTGTGTGTGTGTGTGCGGTGTGTGTGTGTGTGTGTGTATGGTGTGCGGTGTGTGTGTGTGAAAGACAGCTTCCCAGTAGAAACCGTGCAGAGTAGATTTGTCTCAGAAGACTTTTTAAGTGGTCTTTTGTTTTTGCTTTTATTTTTTTATAGCTAAATTCGTTTTGTATTTTGAGAAAGTACTTTTACATATATATGTATGTACGTGTTCACCGCTAATGTAAGTTACTTCACTGGTCATTGGGTCATTATTTTCTGGCAAAACAATTAGCAAAAGAAAAACAGCAATATAATTAAGTATTACGTTAGTCACTCATGTATACGCATTAATAATTGAAATGCTCAAAATTAAGAAAGCAAAAATAAATTAGGCCACTGTGTATTTATTCAAATATAAATATTGCTCCAATATGCATGCCATACATTTATGAAAGTACAGAAAACGGTAAGATTTGCTTACTAACCGAAGTGTAATTCTTAACACATTCTGAATTCCGACTGGGTCGCTTTTTTTTCTCATTATATGATACTTCCCGCCGAATTTTGAATATAACTTTAGTTTTTTCTACACTTTTCAAAAGCAAAAGTGAAGTTTATTTTGCAATTGACAATAATGTACACTTCGATCAGTATTGGGTTAATATAAATACAGCAAAATATTGTGTCTGGAATCATAGTGCAAGTAATCAGTACAATCGTACAGGCCTTATTATTTTTGAAAGCGGCAACTCAGTAAATTTGAAAACCATTTAAAATAATTTGAAAATTAACTTTCATTAAATATGCGTATTTGTTGCTTCCTAAAGTAATTGATTTGTTCAATATTTTGGCTATACGTTTTCAATGTAACTTGTCACCAACATTTTGGGTTCGGCCTGAAGACTAGTTGAACAAATATTCTTGAAAACTCACACACTTAAAGGTGTATATTAGAATGTGTATGTGTAACCAAATCATAAATGTTAGCTTCACATAGACAGACAAACACATACACACACACACAGACACACATTGGTGGGGCACTTGGTTATTCCTAAGCGGTTGCGTTCGTGCCCCATTTGAAGTGCACTCGATTGCTTGGGTCGCATCCAAAGCAGTTGATTTGACTGTCTGATTGTTGGCCGACTGCTGGGTCAAACTTTGCACTTGGCCAAGTTATCGCTGTGATTGTCGCTGTGCTCTTTGTATTCCTCTGAATGCATTGCCATCGAGTGGGTTTCAATCCCCTTTCTGTTTTTATTTGATATCGGCATTCTACTTTCGGGCCATAAATGAATTATGCGACATTTACTAAAAATTGCTTCCCATTGCATAACATCCGGTCGGATTCGATTATTTTGTCTTCCAATTGCATATTCTTTTAATCATGCTCTCTCTCTCCTTCTCTCTCTCTATCTCTCTCTTTCTCTTTCTGGGCCTTTCTGTATTGCTCGGTAGTCCGTAAGTCTGTCACATTCAATCGTTTATCTCCAGGGCTTCGTGTGCGGCTTGCGTCTTTCTAATAGAATGCTCAAGTCTATTTTCAGCTTCCAATAAATTTCCAGCTACTCTGCAGCTCAGTTTTAGCCATGTAATTTTTTGTTGGTTGCAGTTGTTTTTGTTTTTGCTTGCTGCTTGCTGCTTGCGCGGCTCGGCTCGACTCGACTCGACTCGACTCGCCTTGGTTGGACTTTGGGTCTGGTCTATAGAGTCGAACTTCGCCTTTTATTTTAGTTAACAACTTTGCTTCTGCAAACTTGAAATCGTTTAGCAAACTGCTTGGCATTTGCCACAAAAACCTGCTCCACAATCCCCAATCCCCAGTCCGAAGTCCCCAGCCATTGGCTCTCTTCTTTCACTTGCTCCGTCTCTATCTGGCATGCATATGTGTTTTACTTGGAGAGCACTTAAAATTTTGGTTTGCTTGATTTATGGAGCACTTTCAATTGTTTCTTCAGCTAATACCACTCCCATGGCTATTTGCAACTACAAAAGCAACAAAAATTACAAAAATTACATTGACACTGTACAGTGTCTGTCTGCTCCTTCTGTTCACTACCCTGCCGTCCATTTCTTTATCCTTATCCAACGTCGTTTTATTAATAGTAGTTTGAGCAGTTTAGACATAACTTCATCACTTACTTGTTGGCAGCGGTCCGCACTTGGCTTCGTCCTTAAATGTGCAGAACTTTTGCAAATCGTCAAAGTAGAGGCCAGAGGGGCAGCGATTTAAATAGGGGTAGCCATCGACGCACTGCATAGAATATAACAAATTGTGAGTGCATCAACTCAATTGAGTAATCTGACCTTTTGGTCAGACAAATTAACCAAGATGTTAAAAGTTTACCTGATAGAAGCGGCGACAGGTCGCAGGATCAGCATAGTTGCCATTGGCAATGTGCGAGGGGCATGTAAACTCTTCCTTGTCCTTGCTTTGAGCTGTAAAAGTTTCTAAAGTTCATCAACTTACTGTTTTTTCTTTTATAGTTATAATTAAAAATATTCGCAATTAATTTAATTTAAGAAACTTCTCAACCAAATTCCATTGAGGCTTTGAAATATGTATTCGAATATGTAATAATAAAATTTTCGAGCTGGAGAAAGAAGGAAATTCTTGAAATAAACTTGATGTGGGCGTGGTATACGAGAACTTATATTACAAATATCAACATATATCGACTCGACTTTCTACAGCCGATATATAAACACTTTATAGCGTCGGAGATGCATCTTTCTGGAGTCGTAATTTACTTGGACATTGCCACGTGCAAGGGCTGATGAGGTAAAAATCAGTCAAATATTTTCCAATAGACTAGTACATATGGAAAAAGCAAATAAATTTTGGCTATTTTGTGGCTTAATTTTAATGAAATACAGCCATAAATCGAGTGTGGCTGGCTAATGGGACTGTTGCATTAAGTTCTTAATGCAGATGCATTGGAATGAGAGCTTAATAAATGCCAAATGACTCCGATAATAACAACAACTAAAATTAATTGCTTATTTTGTGCTGTCGGTTTTTGTTTTTTGCATTTTTTGTTTTGTTTTTGTTTTTAATTACTGTTATTAGTGTTGTTTTGTTGTTTGCTAAAAGCAAAATCTAAGCTTCAAAAGCCGCTTGACGTTTTGACATTTAAAAAACCACAAGCACTAATTATAAATGTATACAGTAAACATATTATGTAAAAAGTATATATGTATATGCATATATAGCGGTAAAAATAATTGTGATAAGTAGGGAGGCAAAAAAGCACAGGTAGCTTATGTATTAAATAAATAACAGATAAATATATGATAATCAAATGATGATTTTCAGTTGATTAACCAAAGAGAGAAGCGAATTTCGACTGAAATAATTCTGCAATTGCTTAAAAAAAAAAACACTTACAAAAACAATAGCAACACAAGCCTGAACTTACCACATCTTTTGATCAATGGGCGTGGTTTCGGTTGATTTGAGTCGCATTTAATGAATATAAATTGGCTAACAGAATTAGATTTATGCAATGCGCTTAAGCAACAACAATAACAAGCTAAATGCACACTGAGCTGAGTGAGAGATGCGGCCAAAGTCGGACAATGCAAATGGGAATTATGCTTTGGTTTTAGAGTGTTTGGGCACGAACTATCCCGGCAATTATTCATGGAGCTCATTCAGTTTCAATAATATTAATTAAATTCACAGTGTTAGCACGTTGCGTGTATGCAGTCCAGGCCATTTGCGTCCAATTATAATTATAGGCATTCATTCCTATTATAATGCATTGATAACGCCGCTGGCAGAATACATACTCGTATTACCAATGGTATGGTGCAATATGTGAATAAAATATCCTTGTGTCTGCCACACCCTTCCAGTAATACGGCTCTTTACAGCTATTGTCAGCTGTTTTAGTGTATTTAACGGTCGGTTACTTTCTGGCTTTTTGAATTCAAATCTTTTCGTTTTATTTGTTTAGTTTCACTGTCAGCCCGCATTGCATGTGTCAATTAATTTATAGCTTTGGAATTAATTAAAATACACAATACTGTCTAATGTGCCTCGAAGTATGCAACACAAACATACCGAAATTGAAGACTTGCTGAGTGGCAAGTGGAAAATTTCAATTATGGGATAGATACAATATTGTCTGCTTAGTGGTATAATGCAGTTTAGCTATAATTCCTTTATGATAAACACGAATTAATTATTTATCTTAAATAATGCACATCAACAAATGGCAAAGTGAAATCTTTAATTTAAATTTGACATTGGCTTGCGCATTTATTTCTTGTCAAGGCATAACAATGTTTTTTTATGCAACGAGCTGCAACAACCGCGAATCCATGCCCCAACGCCTATGTCGCACGCAGTGTATGCATTTTGTATGAATTTTGTGTTGAGCAAATATATGTTTTTACATATGTACAAATATTTTCGATAATAAAAGTAAATAAGTTTGAAAAATATTTTAAAAATTCAACAAAAAATGGAGACGCAGACAGAGAGCTTGGAGATACCCTGTAAATAAGGTTTGAGCCTAACTAGACTGTAATAGATGATGGAAAATAAATCATTTTCACTCGAGTTTTGTAATGGGTAGCCTGAAAAGTTCTCAATAAAATCACTATAGATCGATAGTTCTTTTCGGCTATTGATGCTGATCTGAATTTTATAAGCAAGTCCATGTTTTACACCCTCCCAATAGGCTGATCAATGTTCTCAAATAAAAACCAAACAATAAATAATTACGAATACATATGCCCTTTATGGTCAGCGATGCTCTTTTCCACACTAGTGCATAACTCCATAAAACCGTTTTTTATTCAATTTTAATTTGGTTCAGCGTACAAAAATCCAGTGGACTTTAAAGGGCTTCTTAATCGTTCAGCAGCTGAATATTTTAAACTTTTGACACCAATCAGTTTCAAAGAGCAACTTACAAAAAATATATTAATACACATGTATTTGCACAGTTACCTGAACACATTACAAATATCCATCTATATGTAGAGACTTCACATTTAAAATATAAGCTTTGATGAAGCTTTTGGGCAATGCGATGTTTTAGATGTGACTGGCAGAGGATAGTCCATCCACTGATTGTTGACTGTGATTGTGATCAATCCCAGTTCAGTACATATATATAATTGAAGCAAAGAGTGCTCTGGTAGGTGTAGCCCCTTAAACATAACAAGTCCATTCCCTTCGTATATCCCCATTATAGCTGCCACTGTTTTATTTGTCATGCCACCTGAGGCGGCGACTGTTGTGGCGACATGAATATTGTAAATTTATGTTAAAGGCGTAAGGCCAATTATGTTGGACATTTTAACTTTTCATAAGGCAATTTTCAATGCGAAAATAATAATTAAAAATAAGCCCAAAACTGAAGCATGCAACGTTGTCGATTGAGCCCCACTCGCCTGCCAACTGCCTGCCTGCTTTTTCTTTTATGTTAAAGAAATTAAATGTGCTGCGTGGGGGAGAAAAAAATCAAATAATAAACTGAAACTGAAAACCAGGAGAGCAGCTGAAAAATTGCCCAACTTTATTTTATGCACATTGAAAACTGTGTTCCACTTGGTTTTTGTGAAGCATAAAATACACACATACATATATGCATATGTATGCATGTATATATATATATATATATGTATATATACTTGTATTTGTTTGCCTGTTGATGTTGGCTTTGCAGTTGTTGCTGTTTCGCGATTGTTTTATTCGTTTTATTCGCATTATTTGCTTTTCCATTTTTTCGATGCGGCTGCCTATAATTTATTTAACATTTGTGGCAATTTTCAACCAAGCTGAGCTGATCCGAGCCGATCAGAGCAACGGTTTGGGTGAGTCCTCGTAACGCAGGCTGCAAGTGCCCCAAATGTAGCTTGCATATATAAGCAAATTTAGCTGCTAGAACCACAATTCGAACAGTATCTTAACAATTTGTTTTCTTTTTCGTATTTTGGTAACACATTTTCTTCCATTATGCATATGTTTATGTCTATTTGCAAAGGTTGAAGAAGGGCAGCAAATGATTCGTTAAGTTCTACTTATAGATTTTTTGATGCTGTATCTTTTGGTTTTTGCTTGCCGCAAACGAAAACATCGAAAATCACAGAGAATTTTACCGCGTTAAGTGTGTGTGCGTGTGTGTGTGTGTGTGTGTGTGCAAAAAATGAAAACTGAAACGGACAAAAAGGCAATAAATTGCACAACTGATATATGAATATGAATAAGAATTGCAGAGCAGCGTAATCAGCTGCTGCGAGGTGCGTTCGATAAGTTCACATGTGTGGTAAGCAATGGACGTTATTTTTATATATTTTCACTTTAAGCGCTTCATTTGTAATACACGCAGTACACATTCTTGCCAACTACGGCACACCTTGCCAGTTTCTCTCTTTCTCTCAAACACATTGTCTTGTTTTATCCTGAACCCATTGAAAATGGATGAAAAGGGTATGATGGTTTTGTGCTCAAAATAAGTACAAGCAGAATGAAACATCTGCGATCCTATACGCCATATATATATTCTTGATTAGGATCAACAGCAGAGTCAATTTCCAATGGAAACGCTGATCTCATAGACTATCAGAGCTAGAGGCTTCAAAATGCTTGCAGAAATTCTCGTATACCCGCGCAGACCAAGTTAACTTTATTTTATCATTAACTGCCCTCGTTTCGCGAATATCGATAAATATCGATTTCAGATTAAAATAAAATCGGCAGACTTAAGGGACGAGCCTTTTAATTGATAAATAATGCACTTAGTGATATTATTGAGCAACTATTACATTTGCATCGTGTTCAGTTGAGAAACACTCAAGTCCAAGGCCAAGTCCGCAACATATTCTCATATTGATCTCACTACTATCAGCAGATCGAAGTCTCTGTAGTCCGCTATGCACCGTTATCTACTCTAAATTGCATGCGCCGATCATAAGAAATAAGATCACTTCTAGGCATGCTTACATTTGAGTGTGAAAAGCTTTCAAAGTGAAGCTGTGGCAATAAGATTAGAATGTATGTGGAATCTACAGCTGTGTTGAAGGTACCTCTCAGTCGAGCTCATTGGTCTGCAGCATTCTTACTTGTTTTATCTTTGTATTTGCTGTGTGTGTGTGTGAGTGTGTGTGTGTGTGTGTCACTTTCTCTCCGCGTCTTTGAGTATCTTTTTGCCTGGGGCATACCGACTGTTTGTATTTGGTAAAACGGTTTCTGCTTTTTATCCGTTGGCATTTTCAAGTAATTTTTCACGCATTTCTGTGGCTGCTTTGCGCCTCATTTTTCACAACGCGAATGTGTGTATGTGTGTGTGTGTGTGTGTGTGTGTGTTAAGCTGCTTAAATGTTTTTGCCACTTTCTTTTCCCACATTGTTTTTTGTTGTAGTCTTTCTTTTACATTTTTTTGTTTTATTATTTTTTTGTCTCTTATTTTGCTGTTGCATTTACAACACTTAAATTGTAAATAATTCCGATTTGGTAGCCCAGACTATAGCTGTGAGCTCGCACAGATACTTCAGTCCCCGCCAGCCTCACAATCCTCACAATCCTCACCATCCTCACCATCTTCCTTCTGCTGCTCCTCGAATGTGTAATGGCCAGAGCCACTTGCCTTTGTCAACAAATTTGCGTTTAAATGGCTCATGTGCCGATGCGTCGCATCAGGCCGCCGTTTGTCCATTTCTCGGAATCTCCGATTCTCCGTTTGTCAGTCGGTTAGTCAGTCGGTTTGGCGGCTCATCTCGGCCTGTCTCGTTTGCTGACGCAGCCTTTACAATTCGTTCTAATGTATTTTTAAATTATGTTTATTTTTTCATCGCATTAAGTAGAGCACATCACAGCACACAGATGGATGAGGGAGCGGGAGAGAGACAGGAGTGGGAGCGGGTGAGGGTGAGGGAGAGAGCAGAACAAATTTACAATCTGGTGATAAGTTGCCAGAGCTTCTTATAAACATGCTAACATTATTCTTAGCCATAAGCTCCGTGAAAGTGATTCACCATTAAGGAAACAAGTTAATAAGATTGAAGTCATCAGGCTTGCCTTGTAGTATCTGCTTCAAATAAGTTTCAGATTTCTTACAAAATATGAGAGTACTTACGTTATTTGCTTTTATTCATTTGTTTTAAAATCCAGCATTTGAAAACCTTTTCTATACATTAATGAAATTCTCTCTATTTGGTTCTTGTATATTGTTCGGTGACCTCTATTTATAATTTAAATATGTTCTTTGTTATTTGAATCTTTGCATATTAATTCACGGATAACTTAATTGAGCCTCTTGCAAAAGAGTGGGCAAAACTAAGTTGATAGAGTTTGTCGGAAATCGTTAACTGCAACCAATTTGAAATACATTAATATGATATATTGGTTTTTTCTAGATTTTTTGTCTTGTTCTCTCTTAAAATTTGGAAGTTGGTTGTTGCAAAGCTTTTAACTCTTCCGGCGAATTTGATTGCGTAAACATTTTAGATTTTTTTTTGTGTATTTTTGAGTTTGATTCCATTATGCAATGGGCGGTCGGGCGGATGCTGAATTTGGGGTTTATGATGGAAAAGATGCAATGCTGTGATATAAAATCGGTGTCACAATCGCCTTGCCTGACGGTTACATAAATTAAGCTCTTTACTGTTGTCATGCATTGGCCCCGCTGTGCCCATTGTCAGCTGGCCCGTCCCGTTGTTCGTGGTCCATAATCTGTTCCGTTCATTGTCGATTTTGAGTGTTTTTTCTTGGTATTTTTGGTGTCAGTTTTCGATTTCGAAACGGGTTCCGTTATCGAATGTAATCGAATGAAAGTGAAATCGCCAGAAGAAATTTAATATTTATATTTACAATATATGTTAATATATGTATTTGCATTATACACATACAAACAATGGTATGCACCAAAGAAAGGTGATGTGGAAAATAAATTGCTCGAAGGCTTAAAAGAAAAAAAAATAACAAAAAACAAAAAAAAATGGGGGAAAAAGCATAGCAGCTGCTGTTGAGGATGATGATGCAAGTATGGAAATCAGTTGAAGTTGACCATGAAAATGCTCAAAGCCACATTGCCCGAAGCCATTGCAAAAATACGCTTTTATTTGCATATTCATAAGCAAACAAAATACAGCCAGTCGTTGCTGTTAATATGTGCCGCTGGCAAAATGTTAATTAAGTCAACTGGAAACCAAGCTGATGCCAAGCGAGCGAATCAGCTAAAACAGCCGCTAATCAAGTTGGAGGTCAGCATTGGAGCACGCGTATTACATAAGGATCGTCATCAACGGCATGGCTCACTGGTACTGACAGAGATTGATTAGTGCAGCGAGAGAGAGAGAGTGAAAGAAATGGAGACAGAGAGAGAGAGAGAGAGAGAGAGAGAGAGAGTCAGAGAGAGTGAGAGAGAGATGTATCAGTGTGTAAGTCAGACACAAAGAAAAGTGAAACCGGCTGAATTTCCAGTTTTATCTTCTTTCTCTTTCTCTTTTTGATTTTGCTTTTTTTTTTGCATCTTAAGTGTATGCTGTACGGAGGGAGCCCAAGCATTCAGGACAGCTGACCTTGCGGGCCTCTCAGGTGACGACGTCTAAAACCAGTTGAAAAGCCATTTATGATAAGAGCAAAAGTCAATGAAATGCCAGCAATGTTACCTAATTTGCAGTCGAACCAAAATCAAACAAGAAATACGAGTACAACCGGGCAAAATGCGCCAGGAAGACAAAGACGAAGACCCACACACACACACACACACACACACAGAGACACACACAAAGACACACTCCGACTCAGACTCGCACAGAGGAAGCCCAAGTCACCATCAAGAGCCAAGAGATTTCCAATTGGCAACGTCAACACTTTTTGTTTCGCACAGTAACAAAAAATTATTACAAAAAATACAATAAAACTATTAACATTTAATAGCTAACACGAATGCGGAAACTTTTTTTTGTTGGTTTTTTTTTTTTTTTTAAATTTCGTATGCTTTTCATATTATTTCTCGTTTTTTTTTTTTTGGTTGTTGTATGTGTTATGTGGCGTGCAGCATTTGTGACTGCAGCATTGAGCACCTTTGAAGGGTGTGCATCTGTTTACTTACCACGAACGCAAGCTGCGATAAGCAGCGCTGCAATCAGACACTGCTGCAGCATCTTGAAGCTTTCACACTGATTTTAAGCGATACACTGCGTTTTCAGTCTGCCAACACGCCAAAGCTCACAGTGACGACGTAACAACGACAACGGCAACGACAACGACAACGACAAGTGACAGAGGGAGAGACGTCCGCAACGCGCAAATGCAAACCGCCAACTGAACGCAGACAGCGCCAAAGAAATTGCAAGAAGCCAACTTTTTGCTTAAGTCGCTCAACGGCTTCCGAGCCACGATCAGCGATCAGCGATCAGCGTTCACTGAGCGGCTCTCGAAGAGCTGAGAGCTTCAAGCTTACAAGCCTCCAGCTGCGAGCTGCGAGCTGCGAGCGGCGAGCTGCTAGCTTAACTTATTCTCAATTCACTTTCATTTCAACTGGTTGGGCGATGACGCGTTACAGTCAAAGCAAAGTGGCCAAGTGGAGTCGATCAGCCGGTTTCAGTCTCGGCGCATGCGTACGCATTTCAATGAGGCGGAGGGCAGAGCCCTTCTCCGACTGCTCCGAGTGTATACATATAGCACCCGCATTACCCATCTCTCTCTCCCTCTCCCCCTCTCTCTCTCTCTCTCTCTCTTTCTCTCTCTCTCTCTCTCTCTCTAACTGTCTGCGAGTGTAAGCATACATGAACTGGTAGAATCGTTTCACTTTGTTGTCCATTTGAGTTCTGGCATAGTTTCATTATTGAAATTCCTGAGGTGTGTCTAGATCCATTTGATTGTTGTAGACACTCACGACTCTCAAGAGCTGTTCACACTCCCTGCATAGCAATGACATGTTAATTGCATATTACAGTTAAGACTGGAGAGTTCTACAACTGTATTTTGTTGTTGAGCTCAAGTGTTGCATACCAATAACCACATTCAATAACTGATTCTAACCACCTAGTTGCGTAATTCTTCTTCTTATAAGTAAACGAAGATTTCGACCTGAAGCGACAATGAAGCTACAAAGTTCGGACGTGGAAGAACACAACTGTTTTTGTTGTCTTTTAGTGACTTCAAATCTACGAAGGTTTTTTAGATAAAATTGAATCTGAAATTATAATAATAAAATAAAACAAATTATATATACTCTTATTAACAGACGTTGTGATTCGAAGGAAAATATACTTTTATACCAAATAATTATCAAATATATATACGCTTCGTATATGCTTACTTTCTCTTCCTGTGAATCAAAAAAATATTTAAATACTTTACATAATTTAAGTGATCCTTTTCGGGGTATCATGATGTCAGGCAGCTGTTCGTTGCTTAGACACTTCTAAAACTAGTCAGAGAGCTAGTCAATAAATGCAGAAATTCAAATTTGATTAATCTAAAACGCTTTCGATTATCTAAGAATTGTCGCTGAAACTTGAATTTGGCGGCTTATATTTTGTTAATTTTCCTTTGAATTGAATTTGACTATAAATAATAGATTTAATCTTGTTAGAGCTTGTTTTGTGTTTTGTATATATTTAATTTTTGTGCCGTGCATATTCATTTTAACTTCAACCAACTGGAAATTTAAATACCAAATACATACAATGTCTGCAGATTATTCAGAGATAACAATTTCTCAATATACGTATACACGAATGTCGGCTTATATCATATATATTATTCGTACAAGTTGTTATTTGTATTTTTTTTTTTTTTATGAATAGATCTGTGGTTTTTTGAATTCGAAATTTGAAATTGAACGGCATTGGGCTAGTCAGTTTGTGTGTTAGTATTTAAGTATTTATTGATAAGCCCAATCGATCAATGAGCCCAAACGTATTAGTTTAAACAATGCGGATATCAATTTCAATCACTGACAAGAAAGGCATTGAATAATTGCATGCATGAATGCTGAGCACAGATAGCGAATGTGGCATTGATGCACAGTGGCATCTTTGAAATATTCACTTTAATTTGTAGCAGCCACAAATGTGAACTCAAACACATTTTTGTAATGTGCCACACACTCTTCACAATCTATTTATTAACTTAACACAATCTCAGCACTTTCAAAACTCAATCAAAATTTTTTTGACTGACAAATAAAGACTCATCATTTAGACCAGAGATGCTCGTTATACCAAATATAAGTTCGACAGTTTCGACAACTGTATGGAAAATGGGAAACTCCATGAAGTGTGTGTACAGTTGGATATCTATTTTTGTTGTTGCTGTCTTTGTTTTGTTGTTTATATGAATATTCATTTACTTATTTGACTGTGGACAGCCAGCACGCATGCATATGCCCGGTACAACATTTTTGGGCATTTAAACCAATAAATATGTAAATTTTTCATAAATTTAATTAAATTCACCACAAAAGCGGCGTCTTCATCAAGCAACAGCATCAGCAGCAGAGACAGCGCAGGGAAAGTTTATCCCCCACCATTCCAAAAAAAAAAAACAACAAAAAAATACAAAAAATATAGAAAATGCAAAAAGTGTAAAAAGAAGACTTACCCACTCAAAAAAATAAAAAAAAATAAATGAATGGAATAGTGAACAGTTTTGGGCGGCTGGGAACAGGATGCTGAGAAGTTTACGGCGTATGAGAGATCTATGAGTTCTGTAGAAAGTAAAACAAATAAAGGAAAAGTTGAGAAACGTATGCAAATATATATTGCAGACGTCGGCCAGATCTAGAGGCAGGTGCCAGCTGCTCGACTGACTGACTGACTGCCTGACTGACTCAGGGACTGACTGAGAGACTGACTAAAGGGGCGAATGAGGCGGGTAAGTGAAAGGCCGCCCGGTTGATTCAAACTTATATAAGTTTTGACGCTGTCTTCGCTGAGGATTCGCAGCTTATGATAAATGCGGATTGTCAGCGAATTTAACGACTTGAGTGACTGACAAAGGCATTTCATAGTTTTGCTTATGCGAACGCAACAGCGAAATTACCAACAACAGCAACAACAGCAACAACAGCAACAACAACAACAACAACAACATCGAGAACAACATGAAGAACAATATGTATGTCGAGTCAGCAGGTCGGCTAACAGAGACGGCATTCGTGGCGGATGAGCGCACTCAAACAAAAACAGTTGAAGCGACAAAGGCGAGAAAAATGCAAGTGAGCGGACATGGAAATTAAAAGCAGCTGAAAGGACAACGCATGGCTGAGCACCAAACCGAGCAGTGGGAACGAGAGCCCGAACGAGAAGGCGACGCCGAAGGAGAATGTGAATGAGAATGAGAATGAGACTGAGACTGAGGAGAGAGAATGAGTACGGAAAGCGGAAACTGTCAACTGGTAACCAGGCAGACGACACTCCCAACGCCAGCGCCGAGTGGATAAGGGGCCAACGGGACACGTTACTCGAAAGCGAATGTAAATGTGAATGTAAATGTGAATGTGAATGCGAATGCGAATGGAAATGTCTCCTGTTGTTGATGTCATAGTTAGCACTTTCGATGTTCGGAACATTTTCAATTAACACTTATTCAATTTTCCAACGATTTTGGCATTTTGTCCGACCACACAGGAGACACATCAGATTGAAAAATAAGCAACTGAAAATAAATATGACCACGATTTATGTCGAGCAACGTTCTTAACTATTTATTATTATGCAGCACAATATGCATGTAGCTCAAGTGAATTCAAAATTGTTTTGCTGCTGGTAAATAACTTATTTGAGCATGTGCTACACGAGTTTCCTGCCACTCTCATTTAAAATGAATGTCGGACAAGTTTGCCTGGCACTGCAAGAGCTCTTATAATTTTATGATCAAATAAATAACGCATTGAGGGCACATAATTGATATTCTTAAGAAGAATCAAGGATAGTTTCTATCTATATATATTTTGTTGTTGGTTGATGCTTGCAAAAGCATTGACTCTGTTCTCGTTTTGTTACTGTTGGTCGTGAATTGCATTGGATATTGGAATATGTAAAAGTAACACATTTGGCACACATTTTCCCATTCACATCGAAATCAAATAAAAGGCTATGACCGCCTGGCAGCTGTAAGGCTCAACAAACAATGTGTTATGGTTGCATCGATTTAGCTGTTGATGCTTGATGATCAGGAATATTTGAACATTTGCACTCAGGCCAGCCTCTCTCTGCCTGTTAAATGCATTTGCACAGCTTTTGCTCAATTTTCAATGGTCTCCGATTATCAAAACTAAACAACAAAGAGCCAAACAACAAAAATAAGATAAAAGCAGCTTAAATTGCAAATGCAGGCGGACTCGGATTTGAATATTACGCGTGTAAATTCTGGAAATTCGTACTCATTAATTATGACTAATTACTAGCAAGCGGATGGGGAATGGTGGTGTTAGTTGTGTTCGTGGTGGTGTTCGCTGCGGTAAACTGGTGGCTTGTGCTGCAAAATTGAAATTGGTTTGAAAATGTTTGCGAGATATTCGAGTTTCAATTGAAAATTGACGCGGTAAAGGGTTGTGTCGATTTTTGGTCAGTGCCAGCAATGCTGTGCTGTGATGCGAGATGTGCGACTGCATCGTCACGGCTATCAAATGTAACGCCTGCAAATGCACCAATTCCCAATTTCCAATCCCATCGAACTGTACAGATTCCACCTTCGCAATCCGCAACAGTGGCTGCAAGTTTCAAATGCTGTTTTCCTGCTTCACTCAATTAAAGGCCTTTTGTGTTCAGCTAAAAGTGCAGCCCGTAACTGAAACCACGTCCGTTTCCGAATCATTCACTAAATTGTGAGCGAGTTATTATGTGTGTGTGTGTGTGTGTGTGTGTGTGTGTGTGTGTGTGTATGTGTGCGTGTGGTATTGTTTGTTGTTTACTGGGTTGGCGTTTGTCCGTGGCCACCAGGTTACCCCGCTCCCGCTGTGAAGTTCGGGCAGCTGCCAACAATAACAATGTGTATGGAATAAGCCATGCGCGCTTGATAGACAGCATGTCTTTTTCTTTTGCTTGGAATCCGGGTTCAGATTGCTATTGCTGTTTGTGCAGATTTATGACTGAAAAGATTGGCTGGGCAACTTCAGACAGCGGACTGCTTTATTTGCACCCATTAAAAATTTGCATAAGTACACACGGCGAATTGGGAGAATTCATTTCTGGGGCTTGTAAATGCGGCCCGAGCTACTTACCACTTATTGGCTTATTGAATACCCTACAAAATAGGATCACATCAGATTATCTCAATATCAGGGATTAGCCATAACAAT